ACACACACACACACACACACACACACACACACACACACACACGAAATGTTGTGAGGTATCAATAAACGTTTTTATCAGCCAGCTGATGACTGCACTTGTTCCGGACGCAAATGCAGTTCCCAGCCTTTCTCAGGGTGGACTTTTAACCACATCTTGGGTTGACACCCCTCAGTTAGCAAGAACAGCCAGAAGCAGAACTACAGAAGCTGAAAAGCAAGGTCACTACATTTGGGACCCTGATGGATTAGGTCTTTTATCTCCTCTTGGCAGGTGTTGCTGCCTATGTGCTGGGTTCCAAGGCATGAGTGGTATTTCCATCATGGCATCAACTATGCTAAGGTCTGGGGGCCAGTTACAAAATAAAAATAAATACAATACTAAGAACTATAATATCATTCAAGTTATTTATTTATTTATTTATTTATTTATTTATTTATTTATTTATTTATTTATTTATTTATTTTTGGCTTCTTGAGATAGAGTCCCCATTGGCTTACCTGGAATTTTCTTTGTAGCCCATGCTGGCCTTGAACTCATGATCCTTCTGCCTCAGTCTGTGGAGTGCTGAAATTGTAGGCATATGCCACTAGGCTCAGCTGAAAATTATTTTTTAAAGTATTAAAATGGGATTAAGTATCAGCCTTAGGATAAAGACTTATTTCTTCCACTTAAAATTTGGGGGGGGGTGTTTACTTTAATATAAGTGAAATAATTCCAAGAGCCCCTGAAAACATGGTGAGATCCAAGTGCTGGGCCTTTTGAGTCCAACTTGTTAAGTTGGCCCTGGTCTTTCTGCTTTTGTTTTCCCAGTCCCCAGTCTGTCCACAACAAATACTCAGATGCTTTTTTTTTTTTTTTTTTTTTTTTTTTTTTTTGGTTTTTCCAGACAGCGTTTCTCTGTGTAGCCCCAGGCTGGCCTCAAACTCACAGAGATCCGCCTGGCTCTGCCTCCCAAGTGCTGGGAATAAAGGTGTGCACCACCACTGCAGATGCTTCTTTTTAATGAAATTAAAGTTCTAGACCCACCTATTCAAAAAAACAAAGTAGTTTAAGAATAAAATGAGAAGCCAGGCAGTGGTGGCCCATACCATTAATCCCAGTACTTGGGAGGCAAAGGCAGGCAGATCTCTGAGTTGAAGGCCAGCCTGGTCTACAGAGTGAGTTCCAAGACAACCATGGCTACACAGAGAAACCTGTCTCAAAAAAAAATCAAATATCAAATGAAAAAGGAGTTTCAGAAGCAATTTATAAACTGAGAGTTCTAACTGGGTAGGGTAGTATAGAGGCCAGCCAGGTCCACATAACAAGTTCCAGTACAGCCAGTGTGACAGAGAGAGAACTTGTCCCAAAAAGAACAACAACAAAAATACCTGAGTGTCTAGACAAATAAAAGGAATCTGGGGGTGAGGAAAGAATGTTCACTGGGGGGCCTGGAACTAGCATTTCTTCCATAGAAGGAAAAGCAACCCGCCGAGGATATCATTAAATGGGGAAGGAGAGAAAGACTTTGTCTTCCTCAGCATTTTACGGAGGCTCAGGCCTGTGGAGCGCTCGCCCCTTAGATCTGGACAGCGGTCAGGAGACTCAGTAGGGAGGACGGACAAACATATGTGAAGACACGGGCAGCATCGGACTGCAAAAGCTGATGCACAGGCCCAGCTCCACCAGATGGCAGTGTGTCGACGGGGAGCCTGACCGGAGGACTGGGAGCCGGATTCCATGACCCTCCGCTGGTGCTGGGGCAGAGGACTGTCTCTTAGATTGCTGCTGATAGTGTTTCTTCTCATTGTCTAATGAGGATTTTTTTTTTTTCTTAACAGCAAGGAATACAAAAGTGAGTCCATTACTATATTCTTTACCCACAGTAAAAACTATGATTGGGACTGGAAGTTATGACATAGGAACAAATCTGTAACAGGGACAGGCACTGTGTACCCATTAAGTCATCAGCATTGTTATTGTCAACTACAAACATCACTGGATTGACCTTCCAAATTGTCTGAGTGATGCTGTAAATTGTACAGACAGCTTAGGCTAATAGTCATTCCAAGAATATTCTCTCCGAGGATGAGAGCCTTGTTATGTCAAAGGTCATACTCACCAGGCAGGCAGTTTCCATCCTTCACCCCGCAGCCAAGGACATGCAGAGAACTTCTGCACAGCCCCGTCATGCTTGCTGATGTAAGCTGCCAAGCAGCTCCTGGAGCATGAGTCTTGCTGTTAGGACACTGGTCTCACTCTGTTAGGGCTGCCATAGCAACCTGCAGCTGACTGAGAGCCTTACACAACTCAAACTGATTCCTCACAGTTTGGAAGGCTGCAAGTCCAAGTTGGTAGGACTGGCTTCTCAGATCTCTCTTTGGCATATGGAGGCCATGTTCTCCCTTGGTTTTCAGACAGCCTGCCTTCTGTGCTTATCAGTTCTGCTATTTCCTCTTCGTGTGTGGCCATCAGGCTGGGTTAGAAGCTACCCTAATACTTAGAAGCTACCCTAATACTTCATACCTCCAAATCTGGTCAGATCCCACGGTGCCAGGGCTTAGGGCTTCAGCACATAACCCTTGGAGGGTCACAGCTGAGCCTGTGACAGTAACACTCAAATTCCTACTCTAACGCTGCCACTGACCAAGTGGGCAATGTGCTGATGTTAATTAACTAAACAAGTCGCTCTCAAGGCCACAGAATGCCTGGCTATAAAACTGAGGTGGCTACCTCTAACCCCTATGGTCTTGGTCTGTGATTACTTCCATCTGAATTATAAGTCTGAAGTTTGCAAAATGAACAGCAGCCAAAGGAAAATTGTCTACTTGCATGGACATCAGTGTGTGTCTGCTTATCCATGCCTTCATGGACTCACATCTGTGAAAATGCCTTCATTAGTTCAGCAAGGCCACACTCTGAGCAAAACATAGTAAGAACGTATGTTGGGTAATTTTTCAATATTTGAAGGAAACAAAAACACTTAAGGATCCCAAAAGTAATCTGTCTTCTGTAAGTTTTCCAGTTGCCCCATCCTCTTTATTTTCTTAGACTTAATTTCTGTGTGTTTTGTTTACATGTATGTATGCACACTACATGCATACCTGGTGCCTGAAGAGGTCAGAAGGCATTCAATCACCTGGAACTGGAGTTGCAGAAGGTTGTGAGCTACCACATGGGTGCTGGAGATCAAACCAAGATCCTCTAAAGGAGCAACAAGTACTCTTAACCACTGAGCCATCTCTCCAGCCCCCATCTTATTTTCTGTCATGAGTCCTTGCTCCTGTATCCACCCCTTCTGTAGTTCTGCAGGGTAATCACAGCCACCAGTGCTCAACTGTAATGTTACCTCCTTCATAAAACCATCTTCACATTCCCAGAGAATATGTCTGCCTTCCATTCTATCCATAAAACCCAATAACACATTTCTGTAATAACAAATACAGATTTAATATCCCTCATCTGAAATGCTTGTGACAAGAATTGTTTCATAGTTTTTCTATATTTTAGAAAAGATGCATAGATGTAATGGGAAATCTCAGGCATGAGACTCACATCTAAACCCAAAATCCATCCATTCATGCTTCTTACACACTGTTATGGTTTGAACAAGGAATGTTCCAGGGTCATACATTAAAGGTTTGCTCTCTAATGCATCCATGTTCAGAGGTGAGGCTTTTGGAGCAGTGATGGCTCATAAGGGTTCTGATTTTTTTAATTGTGTTTATTTCTTCACAACTTTATACATATATAATATATTTTTATCATAATTCCCCAAATCTCTCTTCCATTTTCCCTTCCTCCTTGCAATAGACTCCATCTCTGCTTTCACAACTTTTTGTATATATATGTAGCCCACTACATTTAAGTAAGATTGCCTGCATGGGCATGAGTGAAGTTGCTTGAGCAAGGACAACTTACTAGTAGACTAAGGAATACTGTGGAATAATGCTTTTGTGCACTGTGAAGATTTGTCAATGTGATTGATTTAATAAAAAAGCTGACTGGCCAATAACTGAACAGGATAAGTTAGATGGGAGAGCCAAACTAAGAGAATGCTGGGAGGAGAAGGG